ATGGTATATCCATTGCACGTAATCTTTCATAATTCCTTTCAACAACAAGTCATCATATACTACATCTTGTGTTTGAAAATTTCTATTTAAACAATCTTGGCAGGGGCATCGAATTTTAGTATTTCGATCAAAGCGAGTTCGGATAAGTTTCATAAAAGATTGGACACCCTCTACATATCATTTAGAGAACTTTGGTTCATGCATCCATCCCTTATCCATGATAAACTGCACAAACATATAACCAAATAATAATTAAATACTATAAAAAACTGACTTCACAAGGTAAAATTAATTTTAAGCTCTTCGCAGGTCTTTCGAAAACACAATAGATGCCACAACAATCAAACTGTTGTTAAGCCTAGCAACTGCTGATGCTTGAGCTATATGACCAAGTAGTATAAAACCTACTTGACTACCTAAAACTCACGCCCAATCAACTCCTAATATCACTCGGTAAATCAGACTTCACTAGTGAACAAAATCGCCTCTCAGACAATCTGTCGAACATGTTGTAGGCATCCTAATATAAGCTTTGTTTTGGCAGCAATGAACGGGTGTTCAACCCTTCTGAAAAGTTTAGAACTTTAGTTTATATTTCAGAATAACATTCACAATAATCCCTATTCATAGGGACTCACAAACTGTGTCACTAATAAAGCACATAATTCATGTAACTTTGCATAAATATGGGCTTGAAGCCTGAAGGGGATATGGGATGGTTCTGATAGCAAACAAGAGAGAGAAGAAACATAGAACCTTACCTGAATATATACTAGCGAGGTGGAGGTATGAGCAAAAAGATCGGTGACAAGTCCCACAACTACTGAATAGGAGAATCGTGAGAGCTAAACAGATGGGAAAGATGGGTATCTTTTGTTTTGGATGAGAAATAATGAGAGTAGATGTTGGGTTGTTTTGAAATCAGAATGCAAAAAACTTATCAACTTTAGCTCATTTATCAATAAAAAGTAATGAATCATTTATATATTTGACTCATCTAATGACTTTTCTTTTTGTTCCCCTAAATTTTATTTCTTATAAACTTTATTCACTTGACTATATATTTTATATATATATAGAAAATTATATTTTTGTCTGATCTGTTATTCTTTTTCCGTCCGAGTTGAGTTCGAGTTCAGAATCCATCGATTTAAAGATCCAACTCCTGCACCCCGTTACTGCCGTGAAACAGATGATCTTCGTCCCTTTACGTTTATTTCTATTATTGTCTCTATGAAAGAGTTATGTCTATTGTAAGAATAAATCATGTAATTAGTGGAGTTGTAAGAATAAGTTTTCTTCCAAATATTTAGTAATTGTCGCGTAAGATTGTCAAGTGGTCGTGGTTTGATCTCATTCTTGTCATAAAAATACTTCTTTGTAGTTGAATATGAGGAATTTGAAGTTTAGCTTGTGCCAAAATTAAAATACATGTATTATGATTTAGTTAATTTTAGTTGGTTCAAAAGTCTTAATCGCTAAATGAGTATTTTGTTTGATAGATTTAATTGAGAGTGGATTGAAGTTGATCGCAAGTCTCAATAACAAATATAGTAGTGAAAGTACATTCAATAAGTCACTCCTCGCGTGTTTCTACCACAAAAAGTTAGTGTAACACTCCAAATATTGACATTTATCTTAGGGAGTATACATATCATTGGACAAAATTCTCTTTTTCAAAACTTGACCCGACTTCAGCTATTCATGCCCAAAATGGCGCCTTGCGCCCATATCGTGTGAAAATACCTCCTCTCACAAAATATATTTTTAATTGTACACCTTTTGTCTTACGTGGAACTCTCCCTGACTCCACTTAGTAGAGGCACGTGGGTGGTGATTGGAGGCCACATAGGCTAAAAAGGCGTACAAAATTACAAAATGGATTCGAGGGGGGTAATAGGACCTTAATTTAGTTAAGGTGTGTCTCTGATATTTCGGTCATATAGTGTAGGAGGTACTTGTGCCTTATCCCACAATACTAACATCAAAGAACAAGTTTTTAGACGTGAATGATACAATACAAAAAGACAGTTTTTTTAACAGCTTGAATTGCTAATTGAAAATTCCCCAAACCAAACATTATGGAATTATAGTACCGAAAAAGAATAGAGGAACATTGTACCATACCATTTTAATTTGGTATAATATTGCTATAGGATTTTAATTTGGATCAATGTGGCATGTAAATATTACAATATGTTATTTTAAACTTCTATAAAGTAATTCTTTATAAAGAATTGTTTTTATAATAATGGCAAGATAGTTAAATTTATTTTTAAAATGTTAATATATTTTATTTTTAAAAAAAAACACGTGGAATGTCAAATATCGTACTAATTGGAATATATTTTAAGATATTCCAATCATGCCAATAATGACGGGATGATCACACACTGAAATTCCACAGATTTCAACTATAAAATTATTTTACATCTTATAGCGTACAGATTTACAACCTTGTAATTGCTTCTAAATTTATCTTTAAACATAAGTAGGTGTGAGAATTTATTTTTTTTCTTTTCTTTTTTCTCCTCTTTTTATATATATATATATTCCAAATAAGCTTTTAAGATAAATAGCTTAACTTCCTTCAGAAGAAAACATAACTTAACACTCCTACCACTTCTCAACCTTTCCACTTCCCAAGTTTTTGGGATTACCGCCCCAACTCTTAAAATTTCTTTTTTGATTCCACCAAAACAGAAACATCGATCTTTGGGATAAAAAATGCAAAAAAGAACTGCGTTTTGGCGCTTAATTTCTGAATTTTTTGGCTCCAAAATTGATTTTAGAAGAATGTATATATATACATATGTGACAAATGAAAAGCGAACTCCTGACTGAAGTTACATTTCCGAGCTTGAAGAAACGTACCAGGTATGAATGATTCCTCTGAAAAAACAGAGAACAAGAAGACTGAAATTCGTTCTTCCCTTTGACTTTTCAGCACTATATTTCTTTGTAACGATTTAAGCTTAATGAAATCAGTTGATGTGCTGTAAGATTTTGTATTTTGTTATGTCAATTAGTTGTTAAATTCTATGTTGCTCACGTTTCTTTGTGCATCTAAGCAATCACTAGTTTAGTTCTACATGATCACTTCTTAGTTTTTTTATTTCAGATTTTAGAGGTCTGCACTAAACTTGATTCGATGTAGTTATTCTTTTGTAGAGTATAAGATTTTAATTTTACAAAGAACTCTTTGGACAATCTTCAAAGTCATTACATATAGAGTAGCTCTTGAGAAAAGTTGAACGATCAGTTCTCTCCATCCTTTTGTTTCTCCATCTCCATTGATCTGCCTCATGAATTTCTTAGCCAATATCTCATATATTTCCATTAGATTCTCGTCGTAACAAAGCACCTATGCCATGATATTTTGCAGGCATGGCATAGGCGCTTTGTTACGACGAGAATCTAATGGAAATATATGGGATATTGGCTGAGAAATTCAATCGAGACAGTGGGATTGAAGGGTAACTTGTTGATCTAAGTCTCTTATTCTGTTTTTTTGATTGACTTTTCTTCCTTTCTAGTTGTCCCTAATATTATAAGTTACTTTGACTCTGTTCTGCAAGAAGAAGAGTGCTACTTCCAATACATAAACTGCTATTTTAGCATCTATGTTTGCCTCATGTAGTTGGTATGATCTCTTTTGCTGTGAAATAACTATTCACTGTCATATGGAAGGAGTTGGCTGTGAGAAGAGTATAAAGCATCAAATGGGAAACTATACTTCATTCTGATCCTTGTCTTTATATTTTCTTTCTTCAGAAGTCATATATAGGGAATAGGAATCATATATTCTTTGTTTGTCCCTATCTAAATTATACAATAAACCAGTGAGAATCATCCCAGATACCATTCATAAGACTTAGCTCTCTGCTGCATAGGGTTATCTCAGAGTGTTTGTTTGTTCCGATGAAGGAGACACTAAACTCACCAACACAATCACTTTGTTTGGAATGAGAGTTGGTAATTTCTGTTATTATAAGAATTACCATGAGCAGGATCCTCATAAAAACTGTGATTGACCAGAACAGTGGTATTATTAACGTTGTAGAAATTTCTCATATCTTCATGTTGCAGACACTTCTCACAACTGCCTGTAAATCTCAGTTGAATGTAAAATCTCCAGCCCTGTGTAATAGAGAGATATATCAAAACACAAAATGTTCATAATTATCATTTGTTGTGCATATGCCATGATATTTTGCAGGGATATAAGAAACGTCATGGCTCCAGGAGGACGTGTCTATAAGCAAAAAACACTTACTGGACAAACTGTTTCATCTTCTCAATCTGCCGATGAGTCAAATAAATGTACTCCTGCTATTGCGACAGGTAATACAAATTCTTGTATAAATCAACACATAGCTATTAGTTACTTTTCATGTTTGAAGCCAAAACTTAAACAACTAAAGCTTTTAGTTATGTAAAACTTTAATCATAATATTCTTAATTGAATCTAGAAATACTAAAATGTATACACAAGTATATTACAATTAAGATATTATTTCAAACTAACCTTTTCTTAATCAGATGATACGGCAAGATTTAAGAGGGGTCGAGGAAAAACAAGGGGAAAAGGTCTTGAAAAAATGAAGAGGGCTTTAGGGAAAAAGATGGTGATAGAGATCCCAGCTGGAAAAGGAAGACCTGTTAAGGCGGTTCAATCAGCAAAACTCTCAAATGAATTGGGGATAATTGCACGAAATTTTCTTGCGCTTCCAAATAAGTGGAAGGAACTCACTGTAGAGGAAAAAGATGTTGCGCTTATTAGATGTCATGTAAGATATCTATTTTTGTTATTTTTCTTAAATTGTAATAAGTAAGTGTTTCATCTTCTTATATGTTATAAGGATTTTGATTTTTATGTGTGTTTTGTTTAAAACCTCTTTTTAGGAGAAGTTTGAAATTAACTTAGACGAGCATTACGTCAAAGATAGTTGTGAGGATATTCTCAAAATAGAAGTCGGCAGTGGTGCTATAAATTGAAAATGATGTTTGAAAGTGCACTCTCCGAAGAAGTTGCTCGTAAAATTGAAGTGCCAGAACTAACCCCGGAAAATTGGAATAGGCTTTGTGATATGTGGTCGAATCTAGAGCATAAGGTGATCTATATTCAAATATATATATATATATATATATATATATATATATATATATATATATATATATACTTTATTTGTTTAAGTGTTATTTGATCTACTTATATTTCTATTTTCATGGTAGAAACGATGTCAAGTAAACAAGGTCAATCGATCTAAACTTAAATATAGCCATTTTATGGGGTCAAAAGCATTTGTAGCTGCTCGTGCTGAAATGGTAAGTTAAACAATATTTTTTTTACTAATGCTTCAACTTCTCTTTTTTTTTTTTTGGCAAGTAAAGTATTTTATTTACCAAGTGCAATTTACAACTCAAAAAAGAACCAATACAAAAATAAAAACCAAACTTAGGACCTGCATTGAGTGGTATCACTCCATGTCAAAAGCATCCCTCATATTCCCCTATCCCTCTTAACATCTATTTAACAAATCCAAATCATCACACTGGGTAGTAATCCAGTTTTCTCATTTAATTTTCTGACACAGGTAACCTACTAGCTCTTTGGAACACTTCATGTATGATTTGTTTGATGATAACATGCTGTGATCGCAAATTGATTAGTTGTTTTCGTTTCTTATTTACCCTCTCAGTCACCCCCTTAAACTCCTTAGTATTTAATTTCTGAATCAGCACCTTTACCTTCTTCAAGTTCTGCCATACACCTCTCATTGTAGGATATGTCATACCCCTCCATCCCTTCCTCACAACACCAATGAAATCAGAGTGCTCAGCTATGTGATTAAAAAATTTGAAAGATTTTTGCCCACTATTCTGTCGATCCCCTAAGGGAAAGCTCACAGCACAATGATTTGAAAACAGTGGCTCCATAATGAGTCCTTGAATGTGCTCCCATTTATGTACCCAAGTAACATTTGTTAGGATCCAATTTATTTTTCTATGAATGTGCCCATTAGTCCAAGTATATCTCCTACCCAAACACTTCATTCCAATCATGCTAGCTGTCTCCATAAACTTTTTGAAGTCCTGCACCTCCCCATCCATCACAGCATTGCCACCAAATCTATTATCCCCATGTAGAATAGAATTGAAATCACCCATGATTACTAGAGGCTTTATAACTGCATTTGTAACTTGTGTCAAGCCAGTCCATAAATGTTTCCTATCAGCAATGGTATGCATACCATACACTCCTGTTAGATAGAACCTTGAGCTTTGAGTCGTGACATACCCATGGATGAATTGCTTGTGAACTACATCCACTCTAAACTTCACTTTATTTGGATCCCATAGAATCCATATCCTTCCTCTAGGATCAGTATTATAATTATCCACCCATTCCCATTTTCCAACCATTTTCTGAATTATCTTTCCTGCCTTTCCCTCCTTTATTTTATGCTCCAGCATTACTAGAATAGTTGCTTTATTCCTTCTGCAAAAATTCCTAAACTCAACCTGCTTGTGCACTTTATTCAACCCCCTCACATTCCATGCAATGCACTTCATGTAGGATGGTTATATGTTATGCCCTCAACCAGTCTGTTGAGTTCATCCTCTTGACCTGCCTCATTCCTCCCCACTTGGCCATAATATTCTAGTGTTTCAAAACCATTAGAAGTACCCATTTCCTGCAGATTCCGTTGAGCCACTTTCCTAGCAGATTTCCCTACAGGTTTAGACCACTGTTGCTCTTCCTACATTTTTTCCTTTCCTTTCTCTCCCTCCCCCACTAATTGAGTTTTATATCTTCCTTTATCATCAATCAATGGATTAGTGTTGGGGTCCAACAGCATCCTTGTCCAAGCACCAATAAAATTTTCGAATTCCTTCCTCTTAAGTCTTTCTTTAGCAACTTCATGATGTTCTGCATCCTCAGCTGCATCGACCATCTCAGCATGCTCATGCTCATTCATGAACATCTCTCATTGTTGTTTGCCCATGCTTACTATACAATAAGTTTTTAAATTTATTTTGTAGGGTGACACAACATCTGAAGGGATCGAACCTGATAGAATTGAGTTCTACAAAAATACACATTACTCAAATGAAAAAGGCTGGGCATCTGAAGAAGCTGAGACTAACTATGTGAGAAGCAAATATTCCAGTCGCATTCAAAATGATTTATTTGTTATTATAATAAGTTTAAATAATTTGGATTATATGTTTTCTAGAACAACATGATTGATTTGAAAGCTCTATATACTTCGGGAGAGTCTTCCATGACTATTGATGAAATTGTGGATGCTATACTCGACAAAAAGTCGGGGTACATAAAAGGTCTCTGTTATGGTCCAAAACCTAATACTAATCGAGCAACACAAAGGAGAACATCAGAGTTAGAAGACTCCCTTCGAAAGACGAAGGAGGAAGCTGCTAGTGTCCAACTTGGTTTGCAGAAACGATTGGATGCAGCTGAAGTTGTTGTAGAAAATCAGCAGTCTCAGATAGAAACATTAACTTCACAATTAGATACTCTATCGGCACGTCAAGATGATATTATGAAACAGCTGCAACATTTCATGAGCTTATCCTGATCAAGGTTAGAATTTAGTTTTGTCGTATCTTGGTCTTATTCTTGGCATTTTCCTTTTGTCGAACTGGAATACACCTTTAACTTCATTAAAATATGTGAAAGGACTGGTAGCAGATGTTTTATCCATGAAATGAATCCAATTTATAGATTTCTAGCACCTAACTTTGTTTCCTTTTCATGAGTTAGTGACGATCATTGATTCTTATCAAGTTATCCATTAAGGTACATTTAATAACCTCATAACTTTATAGTTTGTCCGTATCATGATATCATCAAGTATGAAATAACATCTTAGATTTTCTTTCTCTATTTTACATAGGTTGTGGAAGGTGGAAATCAAGATTAGGTGCGAGAGAAGTGCTTTTGCAATGATATCTCTTGAAGCTGCCTCTATATTTTTATCTTTGTTTTGTTAATGTTTAGCATATCTTAGTTATACTTTAAAGTTGGATAAACGTTACATAATATTAGTTTTTCTTCTAGGAGTATGTAGTGAATATCATTTCGATCTCATTTTCTATTTGTTCTTCATTAGTACTATATAACAGTGTGCAACTTATTATTATTATTATTATTATTATTATTATCTTTCTTTCTTTAGTATGTTTTTTATTTTAAAAATTGTATATTTATTATTATGGAACAAACTAGGTTATGAATTTTAAGATATTAATGTATTATTTAAAAAATATAAATTTTCTATAAATTATCAAATTTACAAAACCTAGTTAAATACAAATGGAAAATAGTATTAGTACGAATGACTAATGACAAAACATTTTGTCCTTAAAAGCATAACTTTTAGCGACGACTCTATAATATTTTTTAAGACGGTCATGTTTTCATCATAAAAGTGTAACATTTGGTGACAAGAATATTTTTTGTCCCAAAATAGCCTACTTATTACGAATTGACTTTGTATTTTATGACAATTATGATCGTCTCTAGTTATGACATTCTATAGTGACAATTTTGTTTTGTGAGTAAAAGAAATATTTTTAGTGACGACCTAATTATTTTTAACTACAAAATTATAAAAAAATTAAAGTTGTCACTAATTTATACATTTAGGGACAAAAAGAGAATTTGACTGTAAAGGGCAGTTTTTTGTGACGGAATAATGTTTGTTCAATGACGAAATACATTTAAATTTAGAGACAAATGACGTCGTCACTAATTATATAATACAATAAGTGACGCATCAATTTCGTCGGCATTAATGACCTTTTTAGTGACGAAAAGCTACCATTGTCTACAAAAAAAAATAATTTCTATGATGAACAAGTTTGTCATAGATACTATACATTTGGGGACGAAAAATATTTTCGTAGTAAATAGAACTATAATTAGTGACGAATCACTAAAGTTGTGCCTGTATACATTTCGTGACATACAATTTAGGGACGAATGCTTGACGATTTTTTTTTTCATCACGGAAGTTTTTTGGTGACGAAATATGTGCTTTAGGTGACAAAATTATTCGTAACTGAAAATCAAATTTGTTGTAGTGTAAGTCTTGGGGTTACCCTAAGGTTTAGGGTTTAGTGTATCTTAGGCTTTAGGGTTTCTTAGGGATTTTAAATTTCTTAGGTTTAGGCTTTTAAAGGTGCTGATCTAATATGCTCATGATATGCCAACTCAAGGTTAGCTTGGGTCACTCGTGATCCTAGGTCTCCTGTTACGTCAACTGGATAACCTCGGGTAGTGAAAAACAATGTATGAATAAAAGCCTCTAACTGACTAGAGATGCTGGGACATGTCCCTAGCTAACTCTAGCAAAACTGAAACTAAAATGAAAGACTGAATATAAAACATGTAAATCGTCCTCGAAAAAAGAGGACTCACCACTTATATTGCTGAATACGAATAAGGAATCGATCTCCGCGTGTTCTGAATACTAAGGACCTGAACCTACATCAAGAGAAGATGTAGTATAGAGTGTGTATCAGTAGTTGAAAGATTTTGAGCATGCATGACATGATAAAGCTGAACAAATATATATAACTGAATAGAGCATATTGAACAATTATATAATTTGAACATGATTAAGAATAGTTTAGGTATTTGGTTAAGGGTTATTAAGTTAGGGTTTAGAGCTTAAGTTTTTCTATAAAAAAAATCGGTCAAGAGTTTTTTTCTTTTAGGATTTTAAAGATTTTTTAGGATCATTATTGTTTTTATGATATATGAGATATAAGGGTTTAGGACTTGGGGTTTTAGATTAAGGATTTTTTTTAGGGTTTTTAAGGTTTGTTTTCTGGATTTTTAGTTTTCAGGTTTTAAAGGTTTTTAGTGTTTAGCTTTTCTTAGGATTTAGGATTTCTTAGGGTTTAGGGCTTCTTAGAGTTTTAAAAGGCTTATGGTTGGGGGTTTATCCCTAAGGTTTAGATTTAAGTTTCTTAGGATTTGAGTTTAACATTTAAGGTCTCCTAGGTTTTTTTTTGGGTCATTTAGGGTGTATTTTTAGTGTTTAGGTTTTAAAGGTTTTAGTGTTTAGCTTTTCTTAGGATTTAGGGCTTCTTAGGGATTCTTATAGTTTCATAAGGCTTAGGGTTGGGTGTTTATCCCTAAGGTTTAGGGTTAGGGTTTCTTAGGGTTTGAGTTTAACATTTATGGTCACCTAGATTTTTTTTGGATCATTTAGGGTGTAGGGTTTAATGTTTAGGTTTAGGGTTTTTCTATGGTTTAGGGTTTAGGTTTGTTAGGTTTATGATTTTTTAGGTTTAGGGTTTTTCTATGGTTTGTGTTTAGTTTTTCTTAGGATTTAGGATTTCTTAGGGTTTAGGGCTTCTTAGAGTTTCATAAGCCTTAGGGTTGGGGGTTTATCCCTAAGGTTTAGGGTTTAGGTTTCTTAGGGTTTGAATTGAACGTTTAAGGTTTCCTTGGTGTTTTTTGGATCATTTAGGGTGTAGGGTTTAGTGTTTTAGGTTTAGGGCTTTTCTAGAATAGGTTTTAGGTTTGTTAGGTTTAAGATTTTTAGAGGTTTTTGAGGTTTTAATGTTTTTTAAGTTTTTCTTTGTTGTTTTTAAGGGTTTTTGGTTTCTTAGTGCTTTTTTGGATTTAGGGTTTGAGGTATTTTTAGGGTTTGAGGATTTGGGCTTATGATTTTTAAAGGTTTAGGGTTCTAGGTTTAGAGTTTGGGATTTATTATTCTTTAGGTTTAGGGGTTTTTAAGTTTTTTTTTTTTTAGGTTTTTAAGGGTTTAGGTTTTCTTATTTATTTTTTAGGGTTTAGGATCATAGGTTTTAGGGTATTAGGGTTTATAAGGGTTTAAGATTTAGAGTTTCTTAGGGTTTCTTGGTTTAGGATTTAGGGCTTCGGATTTTAGGTTAAGAGTTTTTTAGAATTTATGGTTTTTTTTATGTTTATGATTTTTATGATTAAGGTTTTTAAATGTTTTAGGTTTCTTAGGTATTTTTAAGAAATTGAATTTCTTAAGATTTAGGGTTACGTAGGCCTCATATAGGGCATAGGATTTTAAGTTTAGGGTTTTTTCTAGGTCTTATGGTTTGAAAGGGTTTTTTTTTTAACGGGTTTTATAGTTGTAGGTGTTTAAATGGATTTTAGGGTTTAGGGTTTCTTAGGATTCCATATGGTTTGGGTTTAAGGTTTAGCCCTATGATTTAGAGTTTCTTAGGGTATATTATTTAGCGTTTAAGATTTCTTAGGGTTTGGTTTTTGTAAGGGTTTTTAGGATTTAGGATTTTGGGGTTAAGCTTTTCTAGTGTTTTATTAGGTTTAGAGGAATATTTAAGTATACGGTTTTAAGGTGTTTAGGATTTCTATGTTTTTTAATGATTAAGGGGTTCTTAGATCTTAGGGGATTTAGAGGGTTTTTAGGGTTTTGGGTTTTTAAAAGTTTAGGCTTCTAAAAGTTTTTTAGGGTTTCTTTTAATTCCTAAAGTTTAGGGTTTCTTAGGGTTTAGCCCTAAGGCTTAGGCGGAACGGTTTAAAGTTTCTTTGGGTATAAGGTCTAAGTTTTTATTTAAGGGTTTTTAAGGTTTAAGGCTTAAGTTTTTGTTGAATTGTTTAGGTTTAGGATTTTAAAAATGGTTTTCAAGATTGTTATGATTTTTTACTGTTTAGGGGTTGTTACGGCTAAGGGTTGTTATCATGTCATGCATGCTCAAAATCTTTCAACTACTGATACACACTCTACGCTACATCTTCTCTTGATGTAGGTTCAGGTCCTTAGTATTCTAAGGTTTAGAATTTATGGTTTTTTTTTATGTTTATGATTTTTATGATTAAGGTTTTTAAATGTTTTAGGTTTCTTAGGTATTTTTAAGAAATTGAATTTCTTAAGATTTAGGGTTACGTAGGCCTAATATAGGGCATAGGATTTTAAGTTTAGGGTTTTTTCTAGGGCTTATGGGTTTTAAAGGGTTTTTTTTTTCCGGGTATTATAGTTGTAGGTGTTTAAATTTGGATTTTAGGGTTTAGTGTTTCTTAGGATTCCATATGGTTTGGGGTTTAAGGTTAAGCCCTATGATTTAGAGTTAAGGATTTAGAGTTTCTTAGGGTATATTATTTAGCGTTTAGGATTTCTTAGGATATCGTTTTTTTAAGGGTTTTTAGGATTTAGGGTTTTGGGCTTAAGATTTTCTAGTGTTATATTAGGTTTAGAGGAATTTTTAGGTTTAAGGTTTTAAGGTGTTTAGGATTCCTATGGTTTTTTAACGATTAAGGGGTTCTTAGATCCTGGGGCATTTATAGGGATTTTAGGGTATTGGTTTTTGAAAGTTTAGTGTTTTAAATGTTTTTTAGGGTTTTTTTTTATTTCTTAAAGTTTAGGATTTCTTATGGTTTAGCCCTAAGGTTTAGGCGGAAGGGTTTAGGGTTTCTTTGGGTATAAGGTCTAACTTTTTATCCAAGGGTTTTTAAGGTTTAGGGCTTAAGTTTTTGTTAAATTTTTTAGGTTTAGGATTTTAAAAGGGGTTTTCAAGATTGTTATGATTTTTTACTGTTTAGGGGTTCTTACGGCTGAGGGTTTCTTTGGGT